ATAGATTTGGGAATCTTGGAAATTATAATTTTTACACAGATGCCAATGGATCATAGTGGCTAATCTGTCATGATGCTATTTATAGTCAGTCTGAGCAATTTTGCTGCATCTTCTACTTATGTGGTCCACAGTCTAATTTTTTTTTTTTTACAAAGTCTGTGTTTGCTGCTGTTTGTTGTATACTGAATCCTTGATTCATCACATTTGTTTTTAATGCTTGTTCTTAAGTTGCAAAAATTATCTTTCTGTTTCCTTCTTGATTGTGTCAGCTGGTAACCATTGCTAATTCCTGGTCTTCTCCATATTGTTTTCAGTTTCTTTTATATATTGACCATGTAATGGTTTATTTCTCGAAATTAATAAACATTTTTCCAACAGCTCACTTTTATAGTCCTATTTTGCTTCTTCTATTTTCAGGATGTTCTCTTTGGAAACTTCAATGAGCACTTTCCCTTTGCTTTGCCTGCAGTAAACCGCAGCCTCCCATTTTTTGTACTAAGTATAGTTGATCAACGTCACTTTGTGGATACAAATGCATAACAATGCATTGTGATCAGTTTTTGAGTTTTCCAGTTTAAATTGCCCAGTAAAGCTGTGTGCAGTCTACTGTACCAACAATGTACTGTATCTGATTATTGGTATCATCCATGTCTGTATGGCTTTTATTGTATTTCCACCATGTAACTTGCTATTTAGATTTTTTCGTACCCATTGTAAATATTCTGAACTGGTTGTGTTGTGGTTGTTATTGATGATTTCCTCCTCCTTCTCCTCCTCATTAAGGAATAACACAATACAAAAAACAAACAAAAAGAATCACCTCATTGACTAGTATTCTTTGGAAGTTTGAGTTCCACCCAGGAATTTAGGAATTATTCATGTAACAAAGTAATATCATCAGATGGTGATTTTGCTATACGTATGGATTCTTTTTATACTGAATTGTTGTATCTTATTTTTTATGCATTATAAGAAATTAATTTCACCTACTTGAATTGCTTTTTCCTATGCTTCATATTTTAAAGCATTCTTTAAGCTGCTCTAAGATTGTTTTATAAAGAAATGGAGGTAAACATTTGCAATTGCAATTCTAGCATATCTAAAACAGCAGTATAAAAATAATACAATGGTGATGTTCTGGAATGTCTGTGGCAAGTTAAGAGGTATTAAAAGGATATTTCCACATATATGAGATTTCTAATTTTTTTTAGTTATTAAAGCTATAAGGTGCTGACCTTCCAATTTGCACGACAATACATCAAGCTGTCTTACACTGCCATAAGCTCTTCATTTATCCTGTCCATCATTACCTACTCTAGCTGGCAGTGGCTTGTCAAAGGGAGATTTCATGGCAGGCATCAAATTGCCTATCCCTTACAAAATCATAAATACCACACATTTTCAGTTCCCAAAGGCTTTCATCTATACTGTGGGTCAGTTGACTTTCCAGTATATGATGCAGTTCCTTGAATTTTGGGGAAAGAATGGCTTCTTCTTTATCAGTATATAAATATGTAGATTTATGTTTAGTCTGTCCTTCTCCTTCCCAGGAAATCCCTTTTGGCGGGGGGGATGAGATCAATCCTGTATCATCTGCAAAGACGGAACACGTTTGGATCACATTTTTCTTTAAGAGAGATAAATATCTGACCAAGACAATTTGCATACCACTACGTTATTTACATCCACTATCTAAGCAATTTGTTGCTACCTGTCCTGCTCCTCAGTGTGATCCAGCTATTCTCACTGAGTCCTGTTCACACCCATATTGCCTTCCGGATATGTACTTCTAAAATCTTCTTTGCATGAATTCATTCCATTCATTTGAGGAAGTGGATGGGGTAATGAAATTGTATGCGATAATAAAACAGATCAACCTTTAAGGGGCTGCATAATCTTTCTTTGTTTTGCTTTAAAATTCCGGTAATACTTTGCCTTCGCAGGAGAGCGCATGGTCAATCTAAGTCCCAACAATTCTTTTTTCAAGTTTACATCCTTTTGTTATATCAAAATTCTAATTCAGAGTCATATGAAAAGTACTTGTAACAGTATGAATGCACACTATATATTCTTAGATGTTAATAATTGATTAGAAGAATCATTCTGAAGTCTACGTGTGCCTTTCAGAGAGTCAGTTTAGGTTTGTAACTATATTAAAAGAAATCTCTTGTATATTTTGCAGTTTTTTAAAAGAAAATCTTCCAGAATAGGAAGTGGTTTATGATATTTCAGGAACATTCCAAAAGAAAAACAGAACTTTCTGTATTTCCCTGTAATTTTCCATCTCTGAAACAGAGTGTTTTGCCTATCCCTATTTATGATATGCCCTTATTTGTTTCTTTTTATCTTTAAAATATATTCAGGTATCTTTGCTTCCCATTTAATAATCCTGATGGCACTTGTATTTGCTTAGCTGTATTCAGCTGATACCATTAAGAGAAGGGATTGCTATTTCACAGATGATATTTCAGATATCTTTAGATGAGAATAAAGAACATTGTGCGATGGTTACATTTTTAAATGAGTCAATGATCTCACAATACTTTTTAGATTTGTATGTTCTAAATGTTGCATATGCAAGTAACTGAGCACTTTGCTTCTTGACTGTATCTCTAATAGGATCATTAGTGAAAGAGGGGAACGAGATATTGTATCAGATTATAAGAATAAGGGAAGATGCTACCGATGTGAACTGTAGATGTCCTGAAGCTATAATTACATTTGGCAGATTCTCTTCACTGTTGCCATTTTTTTCCTTGTCCTTTTCAGCAAATTCTCTTAACAATTTTTAATAAACTGAAAGGATTTTGTTCAATAGAAGTTGACAGTCTTTGTTGAGACAAAGGTTTTTCAACCTAAGCAAAGTACAATATTGAAAGAATATAACATAATTCTTCGCTAGTCTGTGTTTGCATCCAACTCTTCTCACTTTGGCAATACAACAGTTATCCTGTTCAAGTGCAACACTCTACAGTATTTAGACTTGCCAACAAATAAGGAGAATTGGAAGGCAACAAAGAGCATAAAAGGTTTCTGAGATCTACTGAACCATCAATCACAGATTTACAGATTGCATATCCTGTGATATGCTGATCTCACTATTAGACTGCGGTGGACTTTTTTTTTTTTCATGATAACAAGTCCTTCTGAGACTATTTGAGTGGACTCTTAATTAAAAAGTGGCTAGTGTTCTTTCTTACAGGAGCTATCTTTTGAAATTCCCTGTAACCTTCCTGATTAACACTGCTATATTTAATTAAGATTCAATCCTCAGAGATCAGATTGTTACCAGTTTTTCAAAGCAGAATTAAAAGAGGAGATGGCAATTCATCTTCTTTCTTTATCGATAGGAAGTTTCATGGATAGCTTTTTTGCAACATCTGTTTGCAGAGGACTAGAGGTTTGTATCTATTTCTGTGTACAAGAGAAATATAGTGGAAAACAAACAAACAAACAAAAACTCTTAAAGCAGAAAGAATGAATACTCAATCCACATGAGATTCCATGTATTAGGTGCGCACCCTCCCTCCAACATTTTGAGTGGGATCACACATTGCACTAAACAGTCTTTCTCAACCTTAGCAACTTTAAGATGTCTGGACTTCAACTCCCAGAATTCCCCAGCCAGCATGCTGCTTAGGGAATTCTGAGAGTTGAAGTCCAGACATCTTAAAGTTGCTAAGGTTGAGAAACACTGTACTAAACCATCATCTGGCTTGTTTGCCTTTGATTTAGCATGTTGTATGACCCACCATGGTATAATGTGTAGACTCAGGCAACTGTGGTTTAATGAACAAATCAGGTTATGAAAATGATGGGTTAATGTAAAGTGGGAACCTGATCTCTTTGCCCAAAGGCTAACTGCTTGAAGCCTCTATCAGCCTGCAGATAGTCTGCTGGTTAAGGAACTATTAAACTCTGCTGGGTCAAATATTAAATAGCCAGTCCTAACCAATAGTGAGCAATTGGTAGCCATGTCATAATTTGGATATTACTCAAGTATTATGTTTAGGTTTTGATGTCCTGAAACTTAGTCAGATTGTTCATCATGCTCAGTCACTTTGTTCAGTCAAAGATCAAAATATAGCTCACAAATAAGTAAAAGTATCAGTGGATTACAAGAAAGTTCAGACTATATGCAGGTAATCCTTGCTTAGCAACCACAATTGGGACCAGCAATTCCTTCACTAAGTGATGCAGTCATTAAGTGAGATATCATGTGACCATGACGGACTTACCACCTCACTTTTCCTTGCGGTTGTTAAGCAAGACATCATGTGACCACTACTTGCGATTTTACTGCCAGCTTCTCCATTGACTCTGCTTGTCAGAAGCTGGCTGTAGAGCACACAAACGGTGATCACATGACTGAGGGATGGTGCATTGGTTGTAAATACCCACTGGTTGCGAAGTACCCAAATGGCACTCGTGACTATGGGGATGCTGTGACGATTATAAATTCAAGGAAGGACTAGTTGTAAAGTTACTTTTTCAGTGCTGTCATAACTTTGAACTGTCGCTAAACAAGGCAGTTGTTAAATAATAAAATGCATCTCACCAGATCAGTCTATGATTGATATCAAGAGCCTTGATTACAATCCATGCAATCAGAGGACAAAAGATCATGTAAGTTTTTCTGGGATTATAACAAAAATATAAACAAAAACAAACTTAGCAGTGATACGGTTTTGCTCTGGATTATTATATATTTTCATCAGCTATAGATGGCAATAAATATTTCTCCATAAATAAGGCCTACATCTGGCAGTATAAGAAATAATATCTGTCCTCTTCTGTGTCTGACTGCAGGCCCAGAATTTTTGCTGCTGGCTTCTTAGTACCTTATTCTTCTGACTATTGTAATGACCTTGTATGAAATTAGAGGGTAGCAATAGTAAGGGATGGTTAATCATAAAATTAGCGTCCCCAAGCAGTATCCTAGATTATGTATGGCTTGTTGAAAAAGAAACTAATACTGCTTTTTCCCCACCCCCGTTCAGGTGGCTAATCTTGCTTGCTCAGTATCAACAAATGAAGAAGGAATTAACATTGTCCAAACAGCAGCCAGTCATTTGGAGACTTTGTGCCCTCAGGTATGATTGTTATATTTACTACTTGTAAATACATATGTACGTACAATGCTTTTTCATTCACACAATAGTCCTTGTGCTACATAACTAAATGAACAAAACACTAATGAATTATATCTGTAAATATAAAATATTAGATTATAGAGCTTCAGTGTAACTTTTCTCAAAGCCTCTCTAATACAGTCTTGCTGCTTCATCATTCCTGTGCTTTGACATCCCCAGTGCAGTGCCCTCAGGATATGTGGGTACCACCACAACTCTCAGAATTCACATGCTTCCCAAGAATTGGGAAGGTTCCAGATTGGAGAACTGTAATGGTACGTGGGAATGACCTTGGGAGATGTTGGGAAGAGATGCTGCTTAGGGAACAGTCAGATAAGAGGAAACATAGCCCACAGCTGCATAGTGGGTGGAGCAAGAGGCTCAGGAGGGACCCTCCCTATGTTATCAGGCTGTAAAGGTGATGGCAGGAGAACTGTACTTTGAGACTTGCAAGATTCTGTTAATGTAGCCTTACAATGAAGTAGAATTAGCTCATCTGATTGTGTTTTTTGTCTGGTCTACCTGGGAAGGTTGACAAGAACTGTGCTGTCTGCCTGCCACGGTGACGCCATAAAACCACTTATTGACTCTATCTTGTTCAAACTATCTTTCTGCCATGTAAACAATGAGCTTCTGGGGTAAGGGTATCCTTTTTCCATGATGTCATAAGACATTTTTTTTAAGGGGAGGCCAATGGATACAAACTCCAATCTTATCCCCATCACAGATGGGCAATGTTTTTAAATGTTTTGTGGTTCTGTTCAAACAACGGTTCCTATTTTCATCTCTTCTACCTCCTGGGATCATCTGAGGAAGGTCACTTGTCCTGATATATGGCAAGATCAGTCTTGATCCCACAGGCTATAAAAACGTAATCAACTCATTCTATCTTATAGCACAGGGATGGAGGACCGGAGCCTCCACTTGTTGAACCATAACTCTCATTATCTCTTACTACTGGCCAAGCTCACCAGCATGATGGAAGATTGAGCTGAACAATATCTCCCATCCATGATATCTCACATAAGCACAAGATTAAACTACAGCCATAAATCACTGTTTTCTACAAAGGGCTATCATACACCTGACAAAATGTGTGTGTGTGTGTGTGTGTGTTTAAAGTCAAATTTGTATTTATACTAGTATTCTGCCCAGAGTCATTGAGAGTCAAATGGCATATGGTTTTAATATATTATTATTGGTTGTATAGTCAGCCAGATGGTTAGATGGGATCTGGCATTTTTATATACCTATTGAGTCTTTCCCAAGGACCTGGGATAGGCAGATGTTGTTGTTTGATGGTGTTAAAGGTATCATTCCAGGATGTAAGCTTCCTTTTGCAATTGACTGATGGTGATTTTGTCAATGCTGATGGTCTTCAAGTGGTACTCCAGG